CCAGATTTCCATCTGCTATTGGAGTAATTGTTATAACCGCCAGAAGAGAACGATTTCCTTCCTCCTTGGCCTCGATTATTGTATCCTTGATAGAATGCATATTCTCCGTTATCACCACTGATGTCAGTATCCTTTTCATCAAACTGACCCCTATGGTAATTCACATCCGATCCAGGTTCTACCTTAATCTTCACTGTGTCTAACTCCATTCTGGATCTACGACAGAAAACAGCGTCACCGAAACACCTCTTCAAACATTCCTCAATTGCTTTACTTGTCAACTCTTGAGTCCCCATTGCAGCTTTGATCAATATCTGTTGATCTTTGGTCAGGTTGGCCTGAGTTAACAACCTGTATGCCAACATCCCATCATGATAAATATCTTTCGTGTCATTAAACAACTCTCCGATCCGGTTCAATCGTCTCTTGAACTCAGCGATATATTCTGCCATTTTCATTTGTTCCGGTCTAACAAACTTTTCTAGATCTTCTATACCTAGAAATATACTCTGAGTATTATCCTCTTTAAAATACTTATCAAGCTCTGCCATCAAGTACTTCAAACCTTCAGTCTTCTTGAGCTCTGTCACATCTAAGCGTGTTGCAAAATCTCTTGCCTTGAAATCCTGGATCCTCAAGACACACACCGCTGCCTGCTTAGCAGCTGCTATTGAAGTTCCCAACTCCCAGATGCCGACTTCACGTTTCCACTTCAAGTAATCCATCCCCTCTGTCAACAAAGGTGGTTGGTCTCCTCCCATGTCTTTATCTTTTCTCTACCTGCTACCAATGATAATAAGATAAACACGATATTATAAAACTGGAATAATTAGATTTAGATAATACACAATACTATCTACTTGAACACTGATAATGAGATAATACACAATATTGTACTAAGTGAATCTTTCCTAGTCAATTGCTTTCCAAACTAACACACTCCACTACGCACTCGCACTGCAATGACTAACAAAGGTAAATAGTAATTCAATATATAATAACTCAATCACTTCAATTATATAAAGTACCCAAAACACTATCAATCAATGTAACTTCTCTACTACAATACACCGACACTATTACTTGTCTTCTGTTGAGATCTCTACAATACACCGACACTATCACTTGTCTTCTGTTGAGATCTGTGGAGTTCTTCTCTGAAGTTCTTCGTTCTGGAATCTATCTTAAGTACAATCCAATTGACTTATATTCACCGATAGTCCACACTGGTCACACCGACCGTACACTGTAATCTATCTTTTCACCGATAGTACACACACTGGTCACACCGACCGTACACTGCAACTGTAATCTATCTTCTCACCGATAGTACACACTTGTCACACCGAAGAACACGACTCCTAACACAAGTCCACCAACATACAACTGCAACTGGCGTGGCTAGTAGCACTGGTCCACCGTAGAGCAACCACCAACGTCGGGTAGACGAATAGCCTCCGAGATCACATCATTTTCCTAGAATGGATTAAATAATGTTAGTATGGTATTTAATGAATAATGATGTACTTATTTATATAATATCATCATTAACAAAAATGACTGATTTTTGTCAATATCTTAACAAATAAGCCTTGAAGGGCTTATATTGCTTTATAAGTTGTATATAAATATGATGTTTGCGGTCATTTTAAGCTAAAATTCATGTCTCTACGACCTTCCTAGTTCAAGTTACCAAAATTCAGTGCCATTTTTGGTTCGCTGAGCCAAAAAACAGTTTTTTGTCAATATATATAAAACGAAGCACTGGAGACCTTATGTTGCTTCATAACTTGTATATAAATGTGGCCATTGCGGTAATTTTAAGCTAAAATTTAAGTCTCTATGACCTTTAGGAGCTGAAATACAAAAATCCCGTATACGCGACTGAGGGTAATTTAGAAAATTTGCCCTGTAGGGTTATGTCTAGCGACACAAATTGCGTACCTAATCGATTTTGGTTAAGAATGATCTAACAAAAAACCCTGTGTTGTCAGAAATCGTGTACATCGAAGTGCACACTCAACTATTCCCTGCTACTAGAGTAACTGGGTCAAATGCTTTAATGGCCTTCAAATCAGCATGAAAAAATAAAAAATTGGCCAAGGAATAATAATTTTAGTGCCCAAAATTTGGACTCTCAAGTGGTGTCAAAAACGCGAATTAAATAGGTAATAATTATTTTAGTCTCTCGAGTCTTGACACCACTTTAGGGTTAGACGGGTTCCTGCTAGTTCAAATAAAGCGCAGGGCTAATATGGTATACACGGTAACATTCTTAAAAATTTGTCCATTGGTTTATAGCTTAATGCTTATCCTCTATTACATGAAATTTTCATGGATCCTGCAATAGCGGCAAAATTCTGCAAGAGTGGAAACTTGCCAATTTTGTCCCAATATTTAAGAAAGATAAAAGGTTGAAAACTAAGATCAATATCTCTTACTTGTTAAGTCATGAACATTTTGGGCGGATTATTAAAAGTAACTTTCTTTCTTTGACAAACGTCCTTCTTGATCCTAGGCAGCATGGCATTCCATAGAGCACAAGTCATGAACAACCAATGTGGTTGATTTTAGTGATAGCTTGGCATTGTCTCTGAATGAAAACATTATAAATCATGTTGTGTATTTTAATTTTGCTAAGGCCTTCGATTCTATAAATCACGATATCCTCCTTCATATTGAGCTTAAGATCTTATAAATGATATTATATATTCATATATTATACAATTACAATAATTAATTGAATTTTAGCATGAATTGAATATATATAGCATATATAGCCACCTCTAAAGATCTTTTCGGAGTTATGACCACTTCAAACAACTACTCGGACATCGAATTCGGGATGCACAACAATGCAGAAAGATACTTTTGGGCGTCTTACCATTTATTTGGCGTCCTGTCATCCCTTATTGGAGATACTCTGATCTTGATTGCATCGTTCCAGAAGGACGCCTTCAAAATTAACAAAATCTTAGTCACAACAATCCAGCACATCGCAGTTTCTGATTTAATATTTTCTATCTCTGCCCTTGCTCCTGCTGCTATCTCCTTGCTAGCCAACTCGTGGGTTTTAGGAAAAACACTTTGCTATGTTGAGGTGTACGTCAGCTACCTCGCTTTCCCAGCTAGCATGTCTCTCATCGCAATGCTCACTACAAGCAAGTTTCTGATACTCAAATATCCTCTCCGAGCAGCAAGTTGGTCAACAAAAGGAGCTCATCAAGTTTGCAGCTTCATTTGGGCTTTTTCCCTTATTTTTCCAATATCATGCCTTGCTGTAGACAAAGATGATGTTCAATTTGACTACCGAGTTTACAACTGTGACTATGGTCACAACTCTGATGCCTGGAAGACAATAACACCGATATTGGGATTTATATTCGGTATAGTTCCAAACATAATCATCGTCGCCACTACAGTTCCTATACTGAAGTACCTAGCTGATGCAGGGAAATCTGCAAGACGAGTTGGTGGAAGTGTTCCATGGCAAGGAACTCTCACTGTGGTCCTCACTGCTTTAGTCTACTGCATCTCCACCTTACCTTACGCTGTTAACGAAATCGCCATCAACTGCATGAAAGATCCCTCCGAGTTATTTCTTGTCCAATTCTATAAATTTTTCTTTTTCTTGACGATGATAAATGTTGTAGCCAACTTTTACATATACGTTCTGACGATCAGAAGTTTCCGACAATTCCTCCTTTCCAAAATTCGTTCGGTTGTTTCGCTACTAGTTTCGTTACAGACCTCGAACATAACATCCACAGCAGGTAAGTTACAGTTATTACTTATTTAACTAACTAACAATTATTCAACCAACTATCACTGTTACAGTTACTTGACTAACTAACAATTACTCAACTAATTATTTATCACTATTTTATCAATTTTCAAGCAATGGACCCAGTACTCACAGTGAGGAATCCTGATCAAATATATTTTCAGCAGGTGACAACCAAGAAATAAAAACAACTGACAAGAAAAATTCACTGCCTAACCAGATCTCACTACAGAACTCCCGGCACATTACAGGTTTTTTAAATTACCGTTTTTATTAATTTAAGTTTGGTTATATATTTACAATACAATACAGATAGTATTTTCTAAAAATCTAATATGATACTGATAAAACGCCTGTTGAATGAGTCATGGATAGATAATATTAATAATAAAATGACATGTTATATTTATAACTTATTCCCTGTAGATAAAGACAGCGGAGGAATAATACCTGATGAGAAGGCGCCATCTGACGAAACCTCAGTTTGATCAAGCATGTTCGTACGTTGATAAGGAAACTCAAGAGAATAAGTTAAATATGAACTTAAACTCCTCCGGCCACGCCGATAGCTAAATGTGGCATTTACTAAAAACTAGAACATTTATTTCTAACGGTTATTCGGAGAACGCATCCATAAATTTGTGTTGGATTTTTTGAGATAAATTGAGTGGCAAATATTCATCCTTGTCTGGTTGAGTGATTAAAGGATCAAGGATAGAATCGATTTTTGTGATCAGACTTTCAGTTTGAATACTCTTTACTGTAATTTCGAAGGGGTATCCCTTGACTTTAAGTTTAATAATTACATTTTAATTTCAGTTCGTTAACTCTTGTATTCATCTCTTTCTATGTTTTTATTTTTCATTATGATTTCCTATTTGTGCACAGAAAGTTAATGCTGATGTGAATCTTAATATTTCATCTGTGCCTATTTGTGCAAATTTTAAGTAGCGATAATTATGATATTTAATTATTGAACCCGGTATCTGATCTTGATTTCTCATCTTCTAGTTCTAGGATTAATAAAATACATATTATGAATCTTTTGATTTTCGTAGATTATGTTCGTGTTCAATAAATATTAAATTTGACAACTTTGACAAAGAAGTTCGTTTCACTACTCAAATGCTCATACATTTCCAAAACTTCCAAGATGCTAAAAGTAAATACGATGTAGCGGAATGTTTATTTTATAAAGACAATAACCACTCCAAGTTAAAGCTTTGCAATGAAATAAATTTACTATTTACATGAATTCATCTCCCACAACTGTAAATATATTTTAATCTGTTATTCACCTTTTTTAATCAAACCATTTCGCAAATTAAAATGTAATTAGATAATCTTATAATTTGGTAGATTAAGTTCCCTTCGAAGCAGTTTTAATTATTTCGATCGACAGAAATCTGAATAAAGCTTTAAAACTGGCTTGGTATAAAAAGTAACTTCTATTATTTGATAAAATATCAATTTTTAATCATTTATTGGTTCAAGAAATTCAAGGATTGTCAGTAAAATTAAACAAATAGAAATAATCCCTACACATGTTGCGACACATTTACTCGACAGTCGGCAGAATACAGTACCTTGACATAAACATAACTATTTGTCGCAATCCAGACCATTTGAGAAGTTTTACGTAAACGCATATTACATTTGTAAATATTATAAAATTATGTGTCCTAAAAATGTTTTCATGCACTTAAGTAACAAGTTATAAAAATAAATTAGTTCGGTTTAAAATTAAATCAAATCTATTAAAGCAACCTGCAGAGTAATATAAAAACAGTAACGATAAAATAAATCTGACTCAAGAAAATCTAAATCAACTAAGAACTCACCAAGCATTCACATAAATAAAAAATGTTAAAGTATCTGAAGAATTTAAAGTCTTTACACATTAGTCTTCTGCTTCTTCTCCCTGGCACGCTTGTTCTGAAACCACATCAACACAGTACTGAGCTCCAGTCCAGTAACCTGACACAAAGTTCCTTTGTTTGTCCCGGTTACATATTTATTAACGTTCTGATAATAGTGCTCCAGAACTCTGATCTGTTCGTTGGAAAACTTGGTCCTTTTCCCCGCCGGATTAACGTCTGAAGCTGCTGTATTTTTCTTCTTCGACAACATCTTGCCAATAGTTTCTTTGAAACTGAAGTTAAATCGCTCTTTAGCAGAGCTATTCGTAAAGAATTCCCCTCCGGGGATATAAGGTTTACTCATCGTATCAGGGTAAGGTAAATACCCTGCAGCTAAGTTGTCTGGTACTGCTTTGTTACCAGGGTTACCAAGGTACACCTCTCCTCTCTCTTTGTCCAGGGGCATGTTGACGGTATTTCGGGACAGCCCTCTCTCTCCAAGACCCCGCGCGGCGTCAAAATACCCCATATCAAGTTGAGGCATGGGCTCTTGTTTGGGTCTCATGGTTTGAAGAAAGTCTCCTCTAACGTTGTGTAGAGGTAGGTTAGCTGATCTGGGCCCTGAAGGTAGTGGGGGCTGGAACCCTCTGGTAGGGGGTGGGGTGTGGAATTGGAGAGGTCTCGTATCGTTAGGGAACAGATGGGAGGGTAGGTTAGGAGGTCTCCCTCCTAAGTGATGTGGTCTGTGGGCCGGGTGAGGCGCCTTGTGTAGTTCTGCTGGTCGCGCGGCTCGGTCCAGGTCACGTGGGCCATCAGGTGTATGATCACGTGAGCCCTGATCACGTGGGCCCTGGTCACGTGGGCCCTGGTCACGTGGGCAAGTGTCTTGATAGTTCTTCTCGGAACTGTCTCTGAACTGAGTGGGAACTCTGGGTGTGGGACTGTGAGGTGATCTCTGATCCTGGACTTCTTGAGCCTTGGCATGGTGTTCGTGTTGGAGAGTTGGTCGAATTGATGACAGGGATTCTCCTCGTTCTATCACGTGGTCTGAACCAGGCAGTCTAGAACTTTCTGACAGAGGAACTGAAAGTTTGGAATGTTGTGGTATTCTAGAATGTTCCGGATGCGGTAATCTAGCACTTTCTGGTAAGTTTGTTCTGGGATACCCCGCAGAAGTGCCGCTATCTGTTCTGTTGTAATACCCAGGGCTAGGTCCCAGAACAGCAGCTGACTGGTCGAGGGAGGGCCCCATGATGGGTGTGGCGGGGTTGGGAGTCTGTGGGGGCGGTAGTCCGGTCTGGTCAGGCGCTGGGCCCACGTGACTAGTGCCCACGGGACCTGGGCTAGGGAAGTTGAAGTGTAATCTCTGGGGTTTTACATCCATACCTGCGAGAAGGAAGCGATTTAGTTTCTCAGGAAATGTTAACATTTTGAATTTTATCAACTCAAGTACAGAATTCGATACTGTCAAAGAGATTGTTCACATTAATTACGTAAGCAGGAAGTTTTGGAGGAGGAATGTTTGGAAAGCTTACTCTAGTGTTATTTCTACACAATAGCTGTGAGTAAAGTGGCTTACGGAAAAGGGGTCTAAAATAGAAAAATTACGAAAGTTTAGCTTACGCAATATGTGAACGATCCCTAACGGGGGGGTACCATTGGTACCCCCTCCCTAACCATAACAAAACCAACTCCTAGTAATCTCATTTAAAACTGTTGTTCAGCTGAAAAATGGAACTCACCTTGGTTAGGTACTGGAGGTGAACTATATTGACAACTCTGATCTGGCTGGAATCTTGTCTGAGGGGAAGGGCTGAAGTTCTCTTTGTTTTCCAAATACTGGGGGTGAATGGGAGAGGTGGTGCTGTCAACGAATCTTTTCTCTGACTGGTTAAGAGGACTTGCCTGTGACGTCATCATACCACCACGTGACGTCATCATGCTAGCTGAGGGTCCCCCTGAAGAGAAACATGGCACGTTATTAACAGGTAGAAATATTAATAACGGATAGATTGAAACAGGCGACGAAAAACGCCGTGAATTTATTACCCAATCTAGATTAGATAACTCAACTTGTAAGTAAGTAATGAACATCAACAAGTCTAGTTGATGAACATCATATCAATAAGTCGAGCATAACAATAACATAATATGTAATATTATAACTTTAATATGTAATATTATAACTTTAATATGTAATATTATAACTTTAATATGTAATATTATAACTTTAATATGTAATATTATAACTTTAATATGTAATATCATAACTTTAATATGTAATATCATAACTTTAATATGTAATATCATAACTTTAATATGTAATATTATAACTTTAATATGTAATATTATAACTTTAATATGTAATATTATAACTTTAATATGTAATATTATAACTTTAATATGTAATATTATAACTTTAATATGTAATATTATAATATAATAATAGCTTGGCTAATGAGTGCTGAGCGCGATAATTCCCGACAGCTTGCTGGAGGGAACGCGCGGGCACGAAATTGCCAAGCAATTATGTATTATAATATTTTCCGGTTCCGAATTGGAAGGGGTGTAATCCGATACGTGCGCATGATACAATATAGTGTCTAATATATAGAACGCCAGTGTTATTTGTTTTACAACTTGCCGCCAGCCAGTCTGAGGTCTATGCTGATAATACCTTGGCTTCCCTTGCGGGATATATCGGCAAATTATCAGCTCTCAGTGTCGGAGACTTTTAGTGGATATAATTCCCGGAAGGTATTATAACTTTAATATGTAATATTATAACTTTAATATGTAATATTATAACTTTAATATGTAATATTATAACTTTAATATGTAATATTATAACTTTAATATGTAATATTACAACTTTAATATATTGTAATATTATAACTTTAATATGTAATATTATAACTTTAATATGTAATATTATAACTTTAATATATTGTAATATTATAACTTTAATATATTGTAATATTATAACTTTAATATGTAATATTATAACTTTAATATGTAATATTACAACTTTAATATATTGTAATATTATAACTTTAATATGTAATATTATAACTTTAATATGTAATATTATAACTTTAATATGTAATATTATAACTTTAATATGTAATATTATAACTTTAATATTAATATTGTAACTTTAATATGTAATATTATAACTTTAATATGTAATATTATAACTTTAATATGTAATATTATAACTTTGCTAACCGTGAGCGCTATAAGGGGGAGGGTCCATGATGTTCTGCTGAAGACACTTCTGCATGTAGAACATGAAGAACTCTTTCTGTAGATCCTGGTTACACTCAGGGAAAATAAAGTGTTCAGGGTTAGCATTAGTTTTCTTATCGCACGCTGTCTGTTGCTGGGGTCCGGGGAATATCAGGTTCCTGGGATCTGACTCTGGAACTTGATAATTGGGAACTTTTCTGTCTGGTTCTGGTAAATTAATGTGAGGAAGTCTTCTGTCTGATTCTGGTAAATACTGATGATGGTTCTTCTCTGCGTCTGATAGGTATTGAGGTGGTTTCGGCCCCAGTTCCTGCTCAACAGGATACTGATTACCTTTCTGTTTTCTCTCCCAAATCTCCCTGGCTTCTAGCCAATTCTCCTCTAACTCCGCGGTACGATCAGGTTTACTCCTCTTGGGGCGCTGATAAGGGTGATGAGGCGGCGTACTGAACTTCTTACAGTTGATTGGCCCTACAGTCTCCTCCCGACCAATGTTCTCCAGAATCTGGTGTCTTGGAGAGGTGGGGGGTTGGGCTGGGTCCGGGTACGGTGGTGGTTTGGAGGGCTTGAGAGGGGAGGGGGCTGTGAGGGGTTTGAGAGGGGCGGAGTCGAGATTTGAGGAGGGTTTCAGTGGAGTGATGGAGGGATCTGGTACAGTGGTGTCGCAGACCTGATAAAAAGGCTCGGTTAATGAGTCTGTTGATGGGATAAAATTATGGTGAAAACAGGTTAAAATAATATTAATACTTATCGAAAATGTTTTCGTCATCCAATATTAAGTTTTGACCAATAAAACAAACCTACGAATCAATTTTATAACGTTCTGATGAAACAAGAAAAGCAGTTAACCTGGGCAATACACTCCATTGTCCTCTTCAGACTCCTCTCAAAATCCTCCGAATCCCGTTCCGGGGACTCGAACATCTTTATATCCTCCGTGGAGTCGGGTAATACAGTGGAGCTCGTCTTCACTGAGTCACCTGGCGGGGGAGTGAGGGTTAGTCGGGTAATACAGTGGAGCTCGTCTTCACTGAGTCACCTGGCGGGGAAGTGAGGGTTAGTCGGGTAATACAGTGGAGCTCGTCTTCACTGAGTCACCTGGCGGGGGAGAGAGGGTTAGTCGGGTAATACAGTGGAGCTCGTCTTCACTGAGTCACCTGGCGGGGGAGTGAGGGTTAGTCGGGTAATACAGTGGAGCTCGTCTTCACTGAGTCACCTGGCGGGGGAGTGAGGGTTAGTCGGGTAATACAGTGGAGCTCGTCTTCACTGAGTCACCTGGCGGGGGAGTGAGGGTTAGTCGGGTAATACAGTGGAGCTCGTCTTCACTGAGTCACCTGGCGGGGAAGTGAGGGTTAGTCGGGTAATACAGTGGAGCTCGTCTTCACTGAGTCACCTGGCGGGGGAGTGAGGGTTAGTCGGGTAATACAGTGGAGCTCGTCTTCACTGAGTCACCTGGCGGGGGAGTGAGGGTTAGTCGGGTAATACAGTGGAGCTCGTCTTCACTGAGTCACCTGGCGGGGGAGTGAGGGTTAGTCGGGTAATACAGTGGAGCTCGTCTTCACTGAGTCACCTGGCGGGGGAGTGAGGGTTAGTCGGGTAATACAGTGGAGCTCGTCTTCACTGAGTCACCTGGCGGGGAGTGAGGGTTAGTCAGGTAATACAGTGAAGCTCGTCTTCACTGAGTCACCTGGCGGGGGAGTGAGGGTTAGTCAGGTAATACAGTGGAGCTCGTCTTCACTGAGTCACCTGGCGGGGAGTGAGGGTTAGTCAGGTAATACAGTGGAGCTCGTCTTCACTGAGTCACCTGGCGGGGGAGTGAGGGTTAGTCGGGTACCTACATTTCCAGCAGGAGACGAAGAACGTTCTGGAAGCAGGCAAGAAGAACTGGGTATCTAACAAAACCTCACTACGGAACAAACATTGCAGGTTTTTATAATTAAATCTGTTCAGTCGTGTTTTCTAAAAAAGTATGAAACATATTCAGGACTCTCAAAATTTGATACGATAGAAGCCTTGGTGAATGATCGATAGATTCTACTGACATTTTACTCCGTTCCCCCTAGATATTAACTAGCTTGGTAGTCTACAGAGAGTAGAGACTGTAGGTAACTTTAGGTAAAGGCAGTAGAAGAATGGAGACATCTAACTCATTGTCTTTCAATCTAACATTGAAAGACTTACAATGCTTAACTGCTACTTCCGAAATCTGATTTTCAGTCTTTTTAGTTTAACTTTAATTTAAGTTGTAATCGTAAAATCTTAGAGATAAAATATAGTCAAAACAATTTTACATTGATAGATTGAACATTTGGCCAAAATAATTTCAATTCAATTTCGTTTTGTTAAGGTTTTAACTAATCTCTTTCTGCTATTTCAACTATTTCTATTAGGGGTAATCACTTTTTGGACCATTTTTAACCCCCCCCCTCTCCGTTATCAGTTTTACACATAGCTATTGTATCAAAATTACACTAGCGTAATCATTTGGAAACCCCCTCTCCCCTCGGCTGATTACGTAATATTTGAACGACCCCTAATGAAGTCATGGCTGAATATTTGTCCTGGGTGATTTATATGTGCCTATTATCGCATATATGATTAATCCACCCTATTAGCCTGAATTTTAAGTACGGTACTTTAAACTGCAGCAGATATAAAAACAAAAGAGAAAAATAAAAACGTACCTATTTTCTTGATCTGAAAGCTGAAGGATTTAGGGAAAGGGCACACACTAGCAGGGAAAGTGTCTGTAAACATCCCCAGATTATCCATGTGAAACACTTGGGAAGAAGGGCTCAGTTAAATCGAATTAAAGGAGTTACATTAAATAAGCAATAACCCTGTGTAGTTATTAACTACTTAATTAAATAAACAATAACCCTGTGTAGTTATTAACTACTTAATTAAATAAACAATAACCCTGTGTAGTTATTAACTACTTAATTGAATAAACAATAACCCTTTGTAGATATTGACTACTTAATTACATATTAAAACATCGAATTCGAGGGCCACTTTAAAACCCAAATTAGCCGATTTGTCAGTGAACGAATAAATCTGAGTCTTCTCTTGGAAGATTGGCTCACAAATTTCACCTCAAGCGGAAAATAACACAATCACGATGAAGTATCCCTAACGTTTGAAGTCGAGCCGCTGCAATTATATATATACTACTGCTGCATAACTCATGTATTTCACAAGGCAGGATTAAACGTGCGGAGATCTTGCTTACTAAACATACAGACAAAGTAAACTTTAAATTCAACAGTGCACTATAATCTCTTTATCTGACAAGGTGCTTAATTCCAATCACTGATGATTCATTACTATACTATACTACTATATACTACTACATTACTATATACTACTACACCGACCATTATCAAATACTGCTCAGAACGGCTTATAATAATATAGAAATCCAATCAAAGCCAGGGTGTTCAATACGGCCAACATGATTTTTATTTACGAAGACAAGGCAATCAAATACTGTACGGACAAGCTGAAAAGGATGGAAATCCAATCAAAACCAAATCAAAAGCAGCAGCTGTCCAATCAAGACACCTGCCAAAAAGTGAACAGTTAGAAAGAGCAGCTAATGTCGAGGATAAAACTAAGTGGTGTTATGAACGAGATTCTGATCAAATGACACTGACTGGAACATCGTCAGAGAAGCTGCTAATGAGGGTAATAACTTAATTGGGTCTCTGAAACTCCCATCAGTTATTGCATGGCAATACCCCACCCCACCTTGAATCGAGTGTTAGAAGTTCTCATGGTAACGGGAGACGAGACACGTGATCTTGAGGGACCAGTCATAGTCGTGTAATCAGACCCCGTGATAACTGTCAGCCAATAGGGTGGAGGTGGAGTTGCACGTGACTGATACTTAGCCAGACATAAGAGATCGGGTGAAATAGGTTTGAGAACAGGAAATAGTGCTTCAAGTAGCAGTTGTATTGAGAATTTAGTAAAAGTGATATTTTTGCTTAACAGGTGATCTCATTAGATGTGAAACCAGTCCTGTTTCCTGTAATCAGCTCCGAACCTGTCGAGAGACTAGGAAGTGATCATACTGAAGATTGACAGAACGACGGAAGAACTGGCTAGCAAGTAATTTGACAGATAACAGCATGGGAAGTGCAAGAGTATTCTGATAGCATTTTCAATTGCGTTATCACTTATATATATTATTCACTTATATATTATCGCGCAAAATATTTTAGATATTTGAGATAGAAGTTGACTGTCACAAGGCCCAGCGGTAGCTACGTTAATTCTACAATGTTTGCAATAAGTTCGTGCGTGCAATGTGGAATTACAAGGCGCTCTCAATGAAAATTCTAGTCGCCAAAATGTCATTTTCGGTAGACCTTTTCAGACTCGGATTCATGTTGAACCGCGGCTTTGAGTGTGTTTCTTCCTGATATTTCCATAACCACATGTTCAGTCGACAGTTAATATTTCCAATCGAGTGCTTGTTATCATTGTGAAGAGTTAGTTGCAATTTATGTGAAGTCTATTTAACTATCGAAGCAATGATTTGCAGGAGAAAATAAGAAATTAAAATTATACAATTTAAAATTAATAGTTATTTAACATATAATATCGTTTACTTTACGTCATATCCTGGTGGAATAGGTTTAGAGATCTTTTAAATTTAGTTTTCAACGACAGTTAGCTTATAAATTAACAACGCTGCCGTTTAATTACTTTCAAAAACATTAATAAAGTCTTTATTTAACTGTGTACCATTTTCTTTTCTTTTAAATTAATTTAATTGACACATTTATGTGAGTGAATAAAATGTCCTTACTACTTATGAATGCCACATTCAGCTTTCAACTTCTGACTCAAATCTTATTTTCGACATGCAACACATTTTCACAACGTCAAATTTCTGTGTCCTGTTATTTTTGTCACTCCTGCAGCTCAAAAGCCTAAATATTTAGAACACTCCGCAATGATTATGTACGTTTGCAGCTCAGAAAATGCTATTACTGTTAATATTTCCAATCGAGTGCTTGTTATCATTGTGAAGAGTTAGTTGCAATTTATGTGAAGTCTATTTAACTATCGAAGCAATGATTTGCAGGAGAAAATAAGAAATTAAAATTATACAATTTAAAATTAATAGTTATTTAACATATAATATCGTTTAAGTAAAAAATATTCAATTACGATATTTAGATAAAATATAAAATATCTTAACAACAAGCGGTAAACCAGGGTTGATTACAAAGTTCAACCAGTTAAAATCAATATCGGTCATCGCTTTAAAAACCATCCGGCGGTATGAAAAGGGCCACAAAAGACAATAAATATTATTAAATTGGAAAACAGCCTCATCCGTCCCCTTGATAAAACGCACCAGAGGACACTTAACCACTAACTGAATAAAATACAGTAAACAGCGCATATTGAGTATAAATAACTGAGAACTCCGTCTCGGACATTCTCTTGACCAGCCACAACCCATCAAATAATCAAATATAACAGCGTACTTTTAAAAACTCGCACATCACCCTGATCGGGGGGGGGGGGGGGCTGATCACGAGACCCCAGTAAAGAATTTAGGTTCATTCCGCCTCTCCATGGGTCCACAAGTGCAACTCCTATCATGTTCCGTCAACTTACCCTCCCTCATGATATGTACCAGACTCTTCCCATCCACATACAAACTACGTTTCCAATACTTGCTCCGCTCTCTGCCCGTGTGGTACTCGAACTGGTTGGGAGTCAGCCACTGCCCCTGGTAGTAAATACATTTACCACGTGATCCTCTACACAGCAGGTTAGGGTGGAGCACCCCTTCTTCCTCGTTACAACTCACTGTAACTGGTTTAGTGATTGGAGAGGAGCAGGGAATGTGGACTTGTTCCACTGGTTCAGACAGTAACATGGGCATGTCACGTGGGTTACCATGGTAACCGTCACGTGGAGGAGAGGGAGGAGAGGGTGGTGCTAGTGGGGCGTATTTCTGGACTTTTACTGGGGGTGTGTAGGTTAGGTTAGCTTGTTCTTCTTCAAAACGATCAACTGTCATGATGGGGATCACGTGAGTTTCGCTTTCACTTTCTGTTTTTCTTTTCTTCTCGTTGGGGGAATACTCGTTGAAAAGATCAAACAAGGACTGTTGCTTGTTCTGTTTATTCAAACTGTTCTCAACCATTATCTCTGGCCTCGACATGAGAACTCCATAAACTGGCTCATAATCTGGTTCCTTATCGGCAGTTTCTCTTTCACTTTCTACTTTCGGTTCGTGGTATAAAGGAGCAATGTAGTCCATTGTATCTAGGGGGTAGCAGGCGAGGGTGTGATCTAACTCTACACTTGCCATGTCCTTTACTTTACGTCATATCCTGGTGGAATAGGTTTAGAGATCTTTTAAATTTAGTTTTCAACGACAGTTAGCTTATAAATTAACAACGCTGCCGTTTAATTACTTTCAAAAACATTAATAAAGTCTTTATTTAACTGTGTACCATTTTCTTTTCTTTTAAATTAATTTAATTGACACATTTATGTGAGTGAATAAAATGTCCTTACTACTTATGAATGCCACATTCAGCTTTCAACTTCTGACTCAGATCTTATTTTCGACATGCAACACATTTTCACAACGTCAAATTTCTGTGTCCTGTTATTTTTGTCACTCCTGCAGCTCAAAAGCCTAAATATTTAGAACACTCCGCAATGATTATGTACGTTTGCAGCTCAGAAAATGCTATTACTGTTGATAAAGAGCTTGATGGGAGATGTGTGGCATTTTAAGAAGGATCTAATAAACTTTTATGTGGTAGCACTAAATTTCGTGATTGCTTGCTTGCTGATATAAAATGCAGGGCTTAATGGCTTTATATCGTGAGGTGAGGTCACGTTGCACTACCACTCAACACATATCCATGAAATGAGCTGGTTTTAGTCCTGCTACGACACGTGACCAGTTTTGTTTACTAAAAAAAGTGTTTTTTTTTCTTTTATGACTATGTGAGCTAATTCAATATATATATATAAAAATAACAACATTAAGGAGCGTGGCTGATGTTGAATAGATATTGTGATGTGGAGACTAACACACAATGTCTTACAGCTCCTACTAGTGCTACTAGTAGTATTTGTGCACAACTGCACAAATTAATACACTGATGAAGCCGGCCTCCTCATTAGACCAACACCGCCCACGTGCTGACAATACTGATCTCTGATTGGCTGAAAAGGAAAAGGATGGCTTGTGATTGGTCAGCTCACTGCCTGCTTGTTACTTCAATGTCAGCTGTGGTTGTATAGTGTGATCCCGCACTTCATCAGGGGGTGTGTAACTTTCCCACCAGATAACAACCAATCAGAGCACCCCAACATCATGTCACAACCAATCAGAGCACCCAACATCATGTCACAACCAATCAGAGCACCCCAACATCATGGCACAACAAATCAGAGCACCCCAACATCATGTCACAACCAATCAGAGCACCCCAACATCATGTCACAACCAATCAGAGCACCCAACATCATGGCACAACCAATCAGAGCAACCCAACATCATGTCACAACCAATCAGAGCACCCCAACATCATGTCACAACCAATCAGAGCACCCCAACATCATGTCACAACCAATCAGAGCACCCCAACATCATGTCACAACCAATCAGAGCACCCCAACATCATGTCACAACCAATCAGAGCACCCCAACATCATGTCACAACCAATCAGAGCACCCCAACATCATGTCACAACCAATCAGAGCACCCAACATCATGGCACAACCAATCAGAGCACCCGAACATCATGGCACAACTAATCAGAGCACCCCAACATCATGGCACAACCAATCAGAGCACCCCAACATCATGGCACAACCAATCAGAGCACCCCAACATCATGGCACAACCAATCAGAGCACCCCAATATCATGTCACAACCAATCAGAGCACCCCAACATCATGGCACAACCAATCAGAGCACCCAACATCATGTTAAAACCAATCAGAGCAACCAACATCATTTTTTTTGAACATTTTTTGAACATTTTGAACATTTTTTTAATAATAAACGTAAACATATTTTAAATAATTCACATATTTTAAACAGCCTTCCAGAGGTAACAGTTTGGAGCTCAGGATACATGATACATATTATATATAAAGGCCGGGTTACACTAGTACATGATATAAAGGCCGGGTTACACTAGTACATGATATAAAGGCCGGGTTACACTAGTACATGATATAAAGGCCGGGTTACACTATTACATGATATAAAGGCCGGGTTACACTATTACATGATATAAAGGCCGGGTTACACTAGTACATGATATAAAGGCCGGGTTACACTAGTACATGATATAAAGGCCGGGTTACACTAGTACATGATATAAAGGCCGGGTTACACTAGTACATGATATAAAGGCCGGATTACACTAGTACATGATATAATGCTGATTGCTAGACGAGCTAAAGTGCGGTTAAAATAAAAAGAGTGCTCCCTGTGTTAACCTACAGCTTACCATAACATTATACATTAGTGCTCTCTTACATAGTTTAAATGTTTTCAGAGTTTGAATTAGCTGTTGGAATGTTCGAGAACTTGTTGTAAATTGTAGAGTGTCGTTTCAAACTGCAGAGTTTTAAAGTTTGAAATCACAATAACGTACTCGACCAGGCGAGACACAGTGAGGCAGAGTTGCATGCAATTACAGGTTGATGCAGATTGTGGTTGAAATTTCTTGGAAGAATTACATAGTCTCCGCTGCTGTTCATGAATGTTCTTATAACCTCAAATGATTATAACAAATGATTATGACACAGAATATGATTCACGTGCCGTAACATTTTTTAAGAATTGATATTTTTAAGTTATATGAGTGCATTCTAAAGTATCCAAGGGTTGCTGTGCAACAATAAGTTATAAAACAGTAAATACAACAGTTGCCATAGGAGGGTAATGAGTTAATCTCATCACCTACCCTAAATTCATCGTTATCGTATTACGATCTGGCACCATTTCAAATTGAGCATTTTAATATTGCAGAGCAAGTATTTAACATTATGGAGCGGCTGACCGTAACGAGGCATTAGACTTTGTACTAAAAGCAATCAGACACCCATTTTTAGTAATGCTCAGAAGAATACGGGTATATGCCTCCCATAATGTACATGTCAATATAAGTTCAAATCATATTCTATCAAAACTGGTAAAACAAATGTCCATGTTGGTCAATTGAAAATCTGAAATCAGTAAATGAAACCCAATAAATTAAACTTTAAACGTCATATTAATGAATAAAACCCGAGAGAGTAAATCAGGTCCGGAATTCAAGCTACCTTCGAAGGTTTAACAGTTAAAAACCTATTACAATTTCAAACTACGCCCCACCCTTTCCCTTCTTTCTTGATCTATTACTATTCTTCTTTTTACTTTTACTCATACTTTTGGCGTCCAGCTTACCCAGCTCAATATCTTTCAACTGTCTCTTCTTCTTCGCTTCTTCTATCTTCCTTTTTAGAGGTAACGGCATAGTCTTCTCCTTCTCCGCCCATCCTCCTAACTCAACTATTTTACTGTACCGGTACTTCTTCTTCTCCTTTGTATTCTGCGCTGCGAATTTCTCAAATTCGAACTTTAACCGTTTTATGCTGGGCTCCTTTTCTGGCTCTGACTTTTTGGAGATTTTACGTTTGTTGGGGTTGGCAGGAAAACTGCGTCCAAATACAGGCTCTTCAAAGACAATAACGGGAACTTCTTCCATGCTGGAATTGTAAATTTGTTAATTAAACCTCTACAACAGAATTTGCTTTATTTAATTATATTAATTATTAAAAGTCAAAATTTGACATTTTAAGAGAATTTAGAAATCAAATTTGTGGAATTTACAATTCTGAAGCTTTAATGAGCAAATATTAAAATCCTTTAAACCTGCAACTGTATCCTAAAGCATGATTTAGAACATTTACTGTAGTTCCAGACTAATTAAGTAATTAGTTAATTAATTAGGTAGTATTTAGACAGATATATGACAGTCTAATATGTGAATCTAATTTCTAGAATTATGTGCGCTATACCAATGACAATGGAGTCTAACTTATCCTTTCATATTATGATATATCCCTCAGATATACCACTATAATACATGCGGAATTGTCTTCGCTAATTAACAAATAACTTATAACAAAGTATGCATCTCTTCATATTATGATATTTCTCTGATATGAGCGTCTAAATAGAAGAATTTCCTGAGCTAAACCAGTTGCAATAAAGGCCAACACATCTTTTCATAGCTGAAGACTCTAAGTGGTAGGATTCACAGCGCTAAACCAGTGAGAATACCCTTTCATAGCCTGTAACTAATTAAGCGTTTAAGTACTTACGTTCTAAAGTGCCTAAAGTAAACATGACCACAATGTGAGATCTAGACAGTTACACAACAATACAGTTACACTAATTTATACTGACCTGTTCTATAAAGATGTGCCCACAATAATACAGAGTATGGTTTTATTTCGCGAAACACACGGAAGTTTTGGAACACTTAGCTTAATATGTATATGATAATGTAACACTCTCAATATTGCCTTTATCATCTCACAGCACTCACAGCACTCATAGCACTTACATTACTCTTTGCACTCTTAACACTCTTAACATTTTAGCATTCACGTTTACAGTCACGGCAGTCTCCGCATCCACTGCCCACTGTGCACTGCTCGTTGTGCACACCCCTCTCTGCTACTAGAGTAGCATCCACTGCTCGTTGTAGCGTGTGCAGATGCTGTTTTAACCGACTTTACGTAACATGCTAAGCTTGATCACACTCTATTATCTATCCATCGTGTCACAAAAGGGCCGGCAAGGATCAAAAGAAATAGATTACGTATATTGGAGGTATTAAACAGTTTGCACGCCCTAGGCTGGTGCATTGGAGCCAGACACTTTGCAGGACCAAGTGTGCAGGGTGTGCAGATTACACCCACTATGCAGAGTGTGCACTACTACTACTACTACTACTACTACTACTATACTACTACTACTGCAGATGACACACACTGCTAAAACGTTTAGTGCAATCTTAAATTTTGTTTGATTACCCGATACTTGAAAGCAGGGACCAATATTGTGGTATGAAATGTCCGACCATTTGAATGTAAGTCAGATATTTCATAGATAAGCTGCTTATTTGCTTCTTGCACAGCTGGCAGAAAAACAGATAGTTTTGCTAGACTGGAGGGGTGAAATATGCGACATATTACTATATTAATAACATACAATATTATGTAGAATGTTAAAACGTCTCGTAAGAAGTTGATACTTTATTAGCATGATAATATATTAATTGATTATACATGGTGGGCCAAAAGTCACTGTGCAAACGTTTGGTCTTGTACCTCCGCCGTGTTTTATATTTGAGAGCTGTTGCTTTGCAGATAGCATACTGTACCTTCTTGTTCGAGGATTCTGTCGCCAAAATTTGAAAATTCGAATATTTTAGACTACGCCCATTCAATATTTAAACACCTATATTGTTCTCTCTGAAAATGCTGGACGCCAAATTTTTTCAGAGACGGTAGATTATTAAATGTTGCCTCTGATCTGAAAAAAATGAGGCAAAACAGATTAGAAATGACGAAGTTATCAAGCATTTTGTGTATCTCGTTTTAACAAAATTGACTGGGTGATTATGTGACACCGTGACACGACACCTTAATTTGGCAACCTTAACGATTCCCGTAATGTTTAACGGGGTCACCTAATCACGTGATTAGGTAAGCCAATCACCTGATCACACGTAATGAATAAACTCATTATGCTTCGTATCTCGGTCATCTGTGATCTGAGAAGCTACAACTCTAATTTTTCAGGACAAACGTAATTCGGATGGCCAAACACAATTCAATGAAATTTAGCTCGATCCGAATATCCAATAAATGCAAAAATGAACCTTCATTTGAAAAAAAATGAACACGAATATTTTTCGATTTGGCAAATTCCTCGAACCAGTGGTGGTAGTAAGTCATACCGGAAAAAAATGTTTCAATTGGGCACTCAGTGACTGAGCTATTAAGGCCAACGTTTGCACAGTGACTTTTGGCCCACCCTGTACAGTATAATATATATATTATTATATTGCACTGTGCTGTGTTCTAACAATTCGATAGTAAAATAACTTCTTAAAGAGTTAATTAGTCCTGCATGAAGGAAAACTATCTAAAATATTAAAAAGATGTAAAAATATAAGATGTAAAAGTATAATTGATAATAAAGTTTGCTGATGACTATTGAACTTGCTTGTTTTCACTTCTATCAGTAAGTTTAATATTTTTAATAAGTTTAGTATTTTCCCACACTACACGACACAAAACTCTCATTCATAAGCAAAGCTTGCCGAACCTATGTTCAGACCGTATTCACTGCTCAATTCTCACCACAGATCTGCCGATAATCTGACCTACACACGACATTCGCATAGTCTAGAGGTGACTACTTACTAGTTATAGTAGTAGTAGTAGTACAGTGAATAGTAGAGGTGACTACTTACGTACGAGTGATATGGAGTTGTGGTGTACTACTTACGTACGAGTGATATGGAGTTGTGGTGTACTACTTACGTACGAGTGATATGGAGTTGTGGTGTACTACTTACGTACGAGTGATATGGAGTTGTGGTGTACTACTTACGTACGAGTGATATGGAGTTGTGGTGTACTACTTACGTACGAGTGATGTGGAGTTGTGGTGTACTATGGAACACATACGATATAAAGTGGAACATCTATAATAGACAGTGGTTTCTACTTTCTACAGTTTATAATAGAATCTTCTGTGTTATATAAGTGTTATAAGTTGTTATGGAAATTAGTTAGAAATTATTTAGAACTTGTACTGAAACTTGCGTTCCCATTTCATAACACGTTATCAGTGAAATGCCAAATTGTATTATAAGATCACAGTTCAAATCAGAATTTGCAATGAATCGACTTGTTTTAACACTCTGTTACTAAAGTAACTTGTTAAGAAAAACTTTGTACATTTCTATATTTAGGAAGTGAAAAGTGTTATTGTATTAATGGAGTCAAGATAAGACAAGCTCCAGGGACCTGTTCTAGCTACAACATAGTCTATATATTCATTTGTAAATTATGTCCATCTCCTTTCTGCTATGTTGGACGTACCATTAGGACTTTGCATGAAAGAGTAACCGAACATAGAGCTAACTATTATAAACTATTGAAAGACCCTTCCTTAAAACATAGTGATGATTTTTTATCTGATGATAGTGACACTTACAGTTTAGCAGCTCACCTAATAGACTCACATAACCTTTCCAATAGACCTGATTTTGATGCTTCTTATAATGTTTTTATCCTAAAGAATTCTAGTCCTAGTAATTTAGAAGTTAACGAACATCTACTTATTCAAAAACTCAGAACTTTGAAACCATATGGTATTAATTCATGTGATCCTTTTGGTATGCCACTTTTATTTGAAAATAAAACTTTTGATAATGGTCCTTAAATTATTTCACCCTTAATGCAGGGACTAGTATATTTTTTCCGACTAGTTGGGGCCTCACAACCCCCCATACCCGAGTGCTTCCCATTCCATTTTTGAGAGTTTGGCTTCTTTTTACAGCTAACATCCTTTAGTTCAAATTAAAATTTTCTGATATAATTGGAGTATTAACCCTTATCTTTATTAGGTACTGAAGATGTCCGAAAATGTTTTACCAATGATGTTATAAAGATTTTGTTGGAATTTTTAAACTCATTCGTTGTCTGACTGTGGGAACTATTGATTCTTGATCTATATTTATATATACACATTTCATTTCGAACTTAATATTTACATACAATTTCTCATTTAAATATTTACACATCTTTGTACATAAAAGTGATTCGTTTCTCAAAAGAGCTTAGTTATCCATTATTAATACGTTATTAATAATCTATAAATCAAAGTATCAATGAATTTAACACCCGGCGAGCAATGTGCTAGGCTTAAGTAAAGTAAGTAAAGGTTACTTAAGTAAAGTAACCTTACGGCTTTGATACTGAACTCCAGCCTGGAATAAATTAATTTAATCAATTTAAGCAAAATTACCCGAATCATCTTTCAAGTGGCGGTAATGATAATACTAATCTCCTAAATTCCTAGTATACCCCTTGTTTGTAAAATTCATGCAATGAACTGTTGATTCAGAGTTCAATTTAAAAATTTTTCAGAATAACTTATTAATCATATTAGAGAAGAATTATTACATTCAATAAATAAAAAGTGAATAGTATGCAATCTTCTGACTTAAAATTTCTAATAATGCGATGGTGTGATATATAATTAAACTTAAATCTTTGAATAGATCGTAACATATATGATTATATATTGTGACAAACTTGTTTGTTATAATACTTGTATACCGTGAAGAACTCAATATTAATTCCGTGAATTTCTTTCAGAACCGATCGAAATACTTTAACACGATTTAATCTCAAATTGGATAACATGGTCGACTCTCTGATTTTCATCAAAATAAAATCGCTTGAACGACAATAAATCTATGATTAACGTTAAACCTAAAATGTAAAAACTAAAGATACCCAACAAACCCTAACTCGAAGTCTGTTCCCCGACGATCTTCAACGACGATCCAGTCTGCTGAATATCTACAACACTTTGAGACATCGTTGACACCTGGCTTAACGAAACTCGAAAGTGTTTCTTGGGCCTCTGGTTTTGGATGGTTAGGTCGGTTTTCTTTGT